CTTACTTTCTTTCTACCACCAATTCAAAGGTTAGAAAGCTGAAGATAAAAGAAAATAATTCTTAAGGCTGCTACCTCATCCGTGTTTTGATATTGACAGTTATCACATTTTCAGAGGCTGTCATTTCATCAACCAAATTTGGATGATTACTATTCCATCCCCTATGGAAAATTTTAATTCCATTATTGATTATTGGAAAGATCTGAATTATACAAACATATAGGAAAAATCGAAACAATAAGGGTACTCCTCCCCCCATAATAATAGATAGAGTAAGGCATACTTTACTTGAGACGATTTCGTTTGAGTTCTGAGACAAATTTTAAGCAATGCATATCGGTTAACTGAACAAATCAAAATAAACTTTGATGCTTCCTGTATGAATGGTATGGTTGGTGTGCGATTGCCTGTAAAAGTCTACCGTCAATTTGAATTTGATTTGATGTAATATTATATCGATAATCACATTTTTCGAAACTCAATGATTCAATCTATTCAGTGTAAAATTCTATCAATAGGGCTTCACACCGCAAACAAACGCAACGCAGCCTAAAAATACAAAATTGGTCCTCACACCCACCTTACAGCCCATGCATGACAACATTTTGAGGTGAATGTAAGGACCAATTATGTGAGGTGGAAATGAACTCTCCACAATCCACGTTCTACATTCAACTTTGGAGAATCTCACCTTCACAGCATTATAAATACTGAACACTAACCGTTAAGAATGGGTCACACATTATGGAAAGACAAAAAAAACCCTATTGATAATAATGATAAACAGGGGCAATCACTCTGGACCACCATGAACAAACGCTACACCTGTCGCCCTGTTTATTAGTGTCCGGTGTCCACCGCCAAAGTTGACTCCCTCTGTCCATGACAAATTTGGTTACATATCTCCAATCCCTTGACTGGATTTCTTACATTTCTCATTTCTATTCTCATCACATCGTAGTAAGAGAAGCCGGATTTGAATTCCACGGAAGGGATGTTTTTGTGGGTATATTACGCTCCACCTTAGAATTCTGAATTCTACTACAGATTTATTATAATTTAAAATTTCAAACACCTTTAAACCGAGTGAAATCAAACTAAAAAAACGATTAATTGAATCGGTCGGTTTGATTTTAGTTAATTAATATAGAAAGCCGATGGTTAATCGAACCGATCGGTATACATATATTTTTTATATATTTTATATATATTTATGTATATTATATTATATATATTATAAATTAATAAACATGCATTATATATAAATGTATATATATATATATATATTTATTTATAATTTTTTATTATATATTTATATATTTTTATAATATATATTGTAAATATTAAAAAACTGATAAATCAACGAACCGAATCGATGATTAATTGAACCAATTAACCGGTTAACCGATAGGTTTCGTTCGATTTTAGTTACCGGTTTTCCAAAAACTGATACTGCCTATATGGTTACAAAAAATGCCCCACGGTGCAGTCATGAGCATCCCTAATCCCTACTCCACCTAAACACCAATATCCTTCTATATATTAGCATCAATTCTAAGCCAGCATCTACCCCAACTGTACAATGAGCTAAAATTTGTGGGAATGGACTAAACAGTAAAACCCCTTTTTTTTTTCTTTCCGTAGGTCCGTACGCCTAACAGGATTATACAGGCAGAAAGGACACATCCCTTGGTCATTTCCAATTCTGTAGTTTAAGGGGCACTTGTTCATAGAGAAATTGGTTCCGTCAATCAGTATTCCAAGCTGATCCAAGTGCAAGAAGGATTCAAAGAAAGAAGGGAAATGGTTGTCGGCTTCTGGCCAATTTAGAAGGTGTTTGGCACAGTCGGTGTTGTATTGTTATCCCGTATTGGGTTGATCAATCCAAATCTGTGTACACGAGAGACACGAAATTTGACCTAGTTTTAGGTAAAAATAACAATTTGTATTGATCATATCAACATTTTCAAAGCATTTCTGTAAATTTGTTTTTGATGAGAGATAAAATGGCCCTCCAATATCACGAGCTGTCACATGGCGGCCAAAACTAATTTACGACACCTCAGCATTACATGTGGCACAACTTTGCTTGAATGCATATCGACAGATTTATGCCGCTCAGAGGGATCACGCTCATTGATTGCCCCGAGCACCGATCTACCTCTCTGACCTGGGCAACCCATGACCTAAGGGATCATGCCGACCTCAAGATGATTCCAACCTACATGGCACATCCCTCATTATCTGTTCGCACCACTTAGCGCCCCTGAAACATGTGTGGAAACGGCACCCACGTGGCAACGATAAACCCGGTTCTTTCTGCTTTGTGGGAAACCGGATAAGGGCCACGATGACACCAGGCGGGCATACTCTGTAAGCAAGAGACGAATAAGCCCTCTCATCTCCAAACATGTCATGCACATCTTAACAGAACCTCGGAAGTCTATAAGGTTGAGGGGATCACCCTCAGAAGGTATGCTCACTCTTTTTCATAGTAGATCTCTCTGCTTTGATTTCTTGCCTACGCATTTTCATCCACTTTGTTAGCTCGGTACTATTTGGATGATGGAGTCTCCTTCTTGAATCATCCCTTCAGGCTTCTTGCAGATTCAACCTAGTGATCTTTGATCTGTCATTGTCAGCAGGTATTTAATGCAGATTGACCCCATCAATTGACGTTTGACGTTGTTTGTGAGAAAACTGAACACAAAGGTGGTTCCTACTCTTTTATTTTCCACTCTTTGCAATGTCTTCACCCAAGAACAAGGAGGATACATAAGTTGGTGGATCTTCCTTTAGGGGGGCAACTCCAGAGTGTCAAACCCTCTTCAACACCAAGGAGGGTTTTGGCTGCCGCCATGTGGCAACTCATGATTGGAGGGTCATTTTACCCCTCATCAGTATTGATCAACTTAAAATGAAACAACAATGCAACGCAACACCTCCTTAATTAACAAGGGACAACTTGCAAGATACGGAAATATTTTTCCATAGATAGATATTCTCAATGTGCATCTAGATGCTATATGCACAAAGTTTTTGCTTATAAGCATGCATAATGCATAGAAAGCCAAGAAATCATCATTGCACATTGAACTGAACAGCAAGTATCAATGGCCTGCCCTTTTTAAGACAACGGCCACGTTTTGCAATTCCGTAATTTAATTCTAAGTTTTGTGTATGTTTTATATTGTTATTTAGAGCGTTGACACCGAAAAAACAGTATATTCATTAAACTTTCAAAATGAGGTTTTATATAAAAATTACTTTTCACAAAAGTCAAAGCATCAAATATTTGCCTAAAAGGGCTTAAATCAATACGTTAAACCAAATGAGAACATATTGGAACAAACGAATCTGGTCGCGACATGGTTTATTGGACAAACAGCTCTGATAACAAACACGAACACCATAATCAGAGACCCTTAATTTCTTCAATTCTCCTTGCCACCGGTAGTAATTAAGTGTGAGATGGAAACTACATGTCAAGCAAAGAAATCTGGGAGTATGGAGTCCGGTCCATTGACTAGTGTTTTTATTTGTTACATGTCAACCCTTGGGCTAATGTTTGATTTCAAGGAAAATGCAGTGAAAGGTCTTGAATTGGTTTCTTTATATTTCCCTTCCTTTTCCTACATTTTCCTTCAACCAAACATAACCTTAAAGTAAATACATCGAATGCTGAGGCAGAGAGAATCTCTCTTACCACATACCCACCATTGATGACTGCTTATGACGTGCTCTTTGACTGCTCCGTACATTACCATAGGTTGTTTACTTTGGGCACACGTCCCCATTTTCATAATCCCACGTCTATCGCTTCCTCTCTCTCTCTCTCTCTACTGCCCAAGGATGAAGGGCTGGGCATGCCATCATCCTTAATCAAAATTGGGATGTGCTCAAATCATACCTATAACCTATTAGTAATTAGAAACGACAGTCGTTGTTTCTCTTTCTCTCTCTCTCTCTGGGCTGTGGCTGGCTATTCTTTTTGAAGGATTCCGTAGCCTGTACGATCATACTGCCGTTGCCTCTATTTTTTTTTCAGTTTCACAACTCTAGTTTTTCTATTTTGCTCTGGTTTAGTGTTTGCAGTTTAAACCAACTTGAAACCTCCAGACTCCAGTCATCAATTTGATGATCACAAATTAGCCACGTTGCAAAACAGTAGACAGCAAAAAAAAACATAACATCACACCCATCCGAGTATCCGACCCACACCCACCTCTCTTCTGACTCTGACGGGTTATTTTCATTGAGAAACGCTCCCCTAAAGCCATTTAAACTTGCTGATGATTCATTAAGAAGAAGATGAGAGAAAAAATAAAAAGGGAAAAAAAGCCATAAAGTGGGGTGAACTGGAGGCTGGAGGAGAGGGACTACCGGACACATGTTGGCCTGTTGGTAGCCCGGGGCACACCTGCTTCATTTCATCATATGAGACTTGAAACAAAACAAAATCACACCCGCTTGATGCTTCATTTCAAGTGCGACAGCCAAAGCCGTTGGATGTGAAGATCAGACTTGAGACGGTTTTAAACCTACACCCACTGAGCAGATGAACACCCTCAATTCCCTGTTCAGCTGTTCTCTCTCTCTCAGAGGCATCACCGCATCAGCCCACTAAAGCACATATTGTTCAGAGAAGAACAAAAAGACAGAAATCAGGCACTCAGTCTCAGTCTTCAATGACCAAGTGAGCAGTACTCTCTACCCTCAAATGTGGCAATGAATGCTCACAACTACCTCTAACAAGAAAAGCCGGCCTTATTTAACAACACGTACCCGCCCACCCAGCACCCCCTCTTCTCCCCACCTGTCGCTTGTCGGAGATCTCTGCTACAGTTAATACTTCACATTACACCCAGCTGTTTTCTAACCAAAAATACCCCTCCCATGTTCCAAGAATTACTTTTGGTTTTCAATTTGTTCAAATATCTACTTTGAAATGGCAGAGAATTTGGAGAAAATTAATCAAAATGGTCTGGAAGAAGATTTGGTAGACAAGAAAAAATTGAGACTTTTATTCATGAAATTGTAGAGTAGAAGCAACAACATCAATAGCATTATCAGGATCGTCCTCTCTCTAACCCAATAATACCCACCAGACCAGACATCCAATCTCTCTCCCATGGTTTCAAATATTTGGTATATATCTTATATATACATGTTCACAATATTTTCTACCAACCAACCTCTCTCTCTCTCTCTCTCTGAAATTCAACTAAAGAGCCAGCTCTAATTGTACATCTTTCTCAGCTTCTTCTCATGGTGAGGAAGATGAGGATACAAGAATGAGGCTGGCCTAAACAGGGGGGGAAATTAAAAATAAAAGAGGATGATGGATGGAAGATTAAATAAACAGAGAGAGCAATGAAAATGGAAAGAATAAATAGAAACAACAAAAGAGAACTACGCTACCTCTCTCTGGGTTCTTTGGGTCTTTGGCTCTACGAAATTATTATGTAACTGGTTTTGTCGAAGTAAACTGGTAACATCCTCGTATGAATTGGCAAGGATAAAAGGGCATAGGGGGAGATCCCATTGGGTTGGGAATTGTGGGCTGCAAGAGGGGGAAATGACAATAGGAGAATGTGCTTGCTCTAGAGACTGTAATGCCTCACCGAGTACTCCAAAACTTGATGGCTTGGGCAGATCATCTCCTTCACTCTGCTACCATTCTTGTAAATTTTGAAGGTAGGGACAATCCTCACACTTTCAGCCTTTGCTACTGCTGGACTTTCGTTCACATCCACCTTCATTCAAACACCATTCAACGAGCATTAAAAGAACAGTACTTGCTTTAAATGTGAATATCATGTTAAGATATAAAAATGGTCAGAAGAAAACCTGGGGGACTCACAGTTTAGTTCATTTAGGCCTACCTTCAAAAAATTCATGGATGGATACTGATGGCATAGAGTGTCAAAAAATGGGGAAATCTGCTCGCACTGCTGGTTCGATGGTGCCTTGAAGTGGACTACTGAAACACCTGGCATGTCAACTTTCATGTTTAGATTCACAATGACAAGTATCTAGAAAACAAGAGACGAGCAAAAATAGACAGTGCGAGAAGTAACAAACGCAGAAAAGAGTGACTGATCACCAGGTGAAGATATTGCTGCTCTAAACTGATCAAGACCTGAGACTTCCTCCACCTCACCACCAAATTTCATATTATAAACTTCCTCCCCTCGAGATTTCTTCAGTGCAACTTGGGCATGAAATAAAGCCTCTGCAACTTCATTATCACCTGGAAGTTCCTTTATCAATACTTCATAATCTCTTACAGATTCAGCCCATCGTTCAAGCTGCATTCCCCTCCCAAAAATCAATATTCAACCTCAATGAGCTTTTGAAATCAAAACACTGTGATAACAAATTAAAGAAGAGAAAGGGTTAGAAAAAATCTAATCACCTTTCCATTTGAGGCCGCCCGTCGAAGAAGGGCCTTGGTGTAATTTGGTTGGATCTTAAGAGCATGGGTACAATCCTCAACAGATCGCTCCCACTGTCCAAGCTTAGACCAACAAGCTGCTCTATTGCAATAGAGAACCGAGTTGGAAGGATCAAACTTGAGGCCCTCCCCATAAGCTGAACATGCTTCAGCAAACTTTCCAGAATTGAAGAGTTCGTTGCCACGGGCACGGGCCCTTGCTACCAATCTCACATTGCTGAGCATCATTGAAATTTCAATGTTGCGGGGATCGAGATGACCGGCTTTCTCAGCAGCTGCAACTGCATTCTCAAACCTGCAAGACATCCATCATCCATTCTCACTCACACCAAGACCCTGTAGCTATATCTCTCGTTGAACTGTATATTTCTGAGCTCACCTTCCCAATGCCATTTCAACCTGCGCTCTAACGAAGAAGACATAAGATTCTGCAAGCATCCCACAGAATTTGGTCTGTGAGCATGAGGGTGTAGACCATTCGAATTTGGGAATGCGCGATAGTCCAGAGTCTGCATCCTCAAGCTGGTGGAGCTTCAAAAGGACCTCTGCTCTACATGCAAAGAGCTGTAAATTCCATTTCAACCAATTCAGGCCATTTAAAATTTCTTATCTATAACAACGGCTTTGACAAAAAACAAATGCTGCTTAGGTTTTACCTGAGGAGAAGAATCTGCTCCAGCAGCAATGGCGGCATCACCTTCCCTCAATGCACTTTTCCAATCGCCAACCTTCCGGGCATCAGCACATTTATTCAGATGCCTCTCTACAGCCTGCAATTTCTGCAACTCAACAGGATCTGGTTGCTGTCCAGGAAAACATAGATGTTTCCGGGCATTTTCAACCTGGCCTAACCTGTATAAAAATCATGTTAAGAAATCATCACCTGACTTTGATTGTAAAATGGCATAAATGAAGCAGAAAATACAATGGAAGCCTCTTGAACATAGATCAGAAGAACCAGCAAAAGTTAAAAAAAGAAAAAAAGAAAAAAAGAAATCTAGTAAATGACTCTAAGTGCCAAAAGAGAAACCGTGAATTTAAATTAATCCAGCAGTCACTGAAAAAATTTAGAGGACCCGTGATTCTAAAAACCATTAAAAGGAAGTAAAATGCATTAAGAGAAAACGAAAGAAAAAAAGAAAAACCTGCTCAGACAACAATTATCCATTAAACTATATTTGTGGAAAGGCAAAGAGAACTCATACTATCAATAAAAAAGTCCCATGAAGCTTTCGGTACTCTATGAAAGAAAAAGGAGAAGTAAAGAAGAAACAAACTTTGATCACTAACAGAAGGGAGAAACAGTAGACACGAGAGACAAAACCAGAACAAACAAAAAAAGCAATCAAGCAAGGAGAGAGATCATACACAGAGAGTAGATCTGAGCAGGCAAAAACTACCATCATCCACACCAAAACCAATAACAAACATAACATACGCATAATGCAGATCACAACTACACAAAGAACTCAAGCTCGTCTAGGCAAAAGAACACCGACAGCTTGCACGGTTATATTCATCGATGAAAAGCAACGAAACAAAATGAAATAAACATGTAAAAAAATAACAAATATTAACAAAAAGGGAAAAGAGCAATGCAGATAAATTTCCTCTTCTCACTCACCTCAAATGCAGAGACGCCAATCGCTGATGCGCTCTCCAATACCCAGGATCCAACCTCACTGCTTCCTCACATTCCCTTACGGCCTCGCCCAACCTACCAAGCCCTGCCAATGCCGCTGCCCGGTTGCTCCGACATGCCGCATTGTCTGGCGACATGGCAATGGCTCGATCATACAAACAAAGCGCTTCTGCAAAGTTTCTTCTTCTGTACTGCTCATTGCCGGCCCTCTTGATCTCCTCTGGATCTGAGCTCGCCATCGCCCGTTTCACCATCATTGATTCCCCGGCGAATTGTATATTCCCAGTCACATTCCCTCCAGTCGTTTCCCCTCCACTGCCGGAGCCCAATTTCCCTCCACCAACGCCCCGCATTATACTCCCGTGCCCATAATTCCCCGTCCCAGACCCCAAAACGTCACTGCGAGTAGAACTCCGACAAGCCATGCCCGTCTTCAGAATCCTGCCGGAGGGGCAAATGTTCCCACTAGGAAGAACATTCATAACCGGCGAATTAACCGAACTGCCACCACTGCTACTGGTGACGCTTCCACCTGAGTATATTAATGGGGCACCGCCGGAATTCGATCTCCTGTGACCCGGTTTGGAATTACGAGCCGCGGCAGCGGATCGGACACTCTCGGAGGCAGTCGGACTACTCTCGCTCGAGCCAGAAAGCTCACCGGAATGATTGTTCCCACCTCCATCGGACCTCTTCACAACTGGGTTGTTCCCGGTCTTTCCAGAAACAGAGCCAGAGGAACTAGAGCTGCTGCTTGTAGTGGTAATCCCACTGGCAGCGGGTCCACCACCAACACCACCACCTGGACCACGAGTCCTCAAGGGCGAGACCGGCGAACCCAGATCGAGTTCCTTGAAATCCGGCTTGTTATGCTCGAAGTTCAAAGCGCCGCGAAACCGATCGGACAGAGAATCATACCCTATTTCGGGTATGGGCTTCCCTGGATGCGACATTTCTCGTGGAATACGAATAACCAAAAAAGATTCAATTTTTCTGTCTGGGCTTTTCCTACTCTCTCTAACCTTCCCTCTCAAACAATGTCTGTTAGCTCCTCCAACTACATGACCACCAGCAACACATTAAGAAATGAAACCAAACTGGCGTTGAAGATGACATGTAGGCCAATTGAAAGAAAGAAAGAAAGAGATGGGGATCTCGTGATTTAAAAGGAGGAAGCAAGGAATGAATGTGGGTGCTAGAAAGTATAGAGAGAGAGATAGATAGACTGAAAGATTGATAGTTCGGGGAGAGAGAGAGAGGGGCTAGGTGTTTTGGAAGGATTAAGAGAAGAAAAGAGAGAAAAGAGAGAAAGAAAGAAGAGAAGAGAAGAGAAGAGAAGAGACTTTTATTTCCTTTGCTTCTCTTTTCTTTCTTTCTCTTCACCTGCTGCTTCACGAGACACCTCTCCGTTCTTTTTTTTTTGGTACTTTGGTGCCATGCACCATTGATAATTTCCCCTTGACCCCCTTTTTCCCAAACTGCTGGTTGCAGGATTCGATTCCGCGTACAAACCAGTTAACACACCAACGAGCCCTCTCCGTTCTCTCTCTTCCCTCTACTACCACTACTCCCTCTGACTTCTCTCCTCTCTCTTTCTTTATTATTTTTCTTTTCTCATCTTTCCTTTCGTTATCACTCTCTCTCCAAACCCGATTCCCTTTATTTGTTGTATTTTCTGTTCTCTTCTAATTTCCCCTAATTTACCAATTTCTAATTTCATCGCTTATTTTTCAGGAACACAGAGAGAGAGAGAGAGAGAGAGAGAGCGTGCATACGTTAAGCATCGTCCACCTCGGGGCTGATGTTAGACTACACCCAAACTATTATTAGTCTTTCTGTGTTCACAGTTCACATTCCCAAGTCCCAAATTAATTAAATTCATTCTTCTCTCACTCAGTCACCCCCACTCTCTGGCGTAGCCTTAGGCCAAAACCCGAAATCACGGCCTTTGGATGTATTTTGGGGTCCACTTAAACGTCACTCCATCCAAATCAAAGTGGGCCCACATCAATACATCGAGGGCTGTGAATCACGGCTTTAAGCTACGGCGATGGCGTAGCAGATATTTCTCGATTCTTCCTGCTATATATCGTAGATTCCGTACTCTCGAAATTTTTTCCTCCTACGCAAGCCAGAAGCCAACGCAAGATTTTAAAGACCGTACAGTAAATTTACGTAATTAACATTGAACTTTATTCTTCTTTTTACACATATACCCTCGCCTTCTTCCTGAAACTACGAAAAGCCACGTTCTTATCTCGATTGTTTCGAGAAATTTATGAAAAGTGTCAGTATGCTTAGTAAGATCATTAAAAGTGGGGAAACCGGAAAATGGAAAAAAATAATAATAATAATAATAATAATATTCGTTGGTAACCCGGAGGGCATTAAAGCAGTTTGGACGGAGAAGTAGGGGTATTTTTGGAAAGAGAGTCTCGCTCTCGACAGGAGGCAGCTGGCCATGTGCAGGGTGCCGTGACAGCTGGCCCATTCGGGGTAACTCTAAGCGTTCCAGCGGCCTCCAGCTAAGCATGTAACGGAGTAATTAACGGTTTCCGTCTTAAACGATCGAATATTCCGCGTATGAAAGAATATTCCGTCCCCTTAAGCTGAATAGGATTGACAGGATGTTGACTCTTGACCGCAGAGGAAGAGGAAGAGTCATATCCACAGTCCCGCAAAGGCGAGAAATGATTGATAGCCGGGCAGAAGATCCATTATTATTTCCCTACACCTCACACCCTGGTTGGTCCCCGACCCGGCTCATCTAGAGTGGACCGTTATTGGACCCAAATTGAACTAAAAGCAAACAGGCAGTACATAATCACCAAGCTATGACTTATGATAATGGTGTTCTTTAAGAATTAAGGTCAAAACATCGCAACATACATATATCGTAACGTATAATATGAATCTGGATTTCTCTCTGACATGGAATCCTTCTCACACCCACCTCATACCGGAAACATCTACAATATAAGTACATGTTTCAGTAATTCTCTTAACATACATATATGCAAATTAGTACACCTAAAAAGTATTTGAACCATGTTTAGGATAATGCCAATTATTTGGTAATTATATATATAAATGCACCAAGCGGAGTAATTGGTGCAATTAATGTAGTAATTAGAACAAAATATATGATATTATTATGTTAATTTGTTTTAGCAATTTGGTTGAAAGTATAAATCACATACCCAATTTAAAAAATTTACACTCGGCCCATCAAATTCTAAGTATGGTATGATAATGAAAATTACTTTGTGGTAGCCAAGCCAAAGGCTATTTAGTAGTAACTAGAGTTTAATTTGTGTTAGTGGCATGTGGCCTTAGGGTAGGGGTATGGAGCCATGTTATAAGATTTTCAATAAATACCGCATATGTAAGCTGACAAAGGGAAGGCTGAGGCTGAGCATAGAGACATGAATATAATTCTGTGTTCTGAACAGTTGAATATGTACACAATAAAGTCTATTCACCATAATTGGGCAAGGGGTATGATGTATATTCCTTGCAGCGGGGTAAATATAAAACCTTGAATCATATAAAGTATAAATAAGTTTGTACTTGCAACAGAGTCAGAAACCACAATTTCAGAATTTGGAGGGAGGGAGGCGGGGGCTGCAAGGAGATATACATTGAAACTTCCTGAGATGATCATAACCATCCAACCTGTGAGATGGAGAAGTGTTGAGAATCCAAAGCTTTCTGGTCTTCATCAATTGGATAAGTTCCGACTATGTAGAGGCAAATGGAGGACCCGTCGGTGTGCTTTTGCAGAGGATAGTTGGACACAAATCGACAGGATTAGTAATGAGGTCAGGTTTGGGTCGAGTGTGTTTATTACGGGGTTTGAGCGGCAGCGGCCAGCACCCAGCTTAGCTTTGGTTGTGGGTTGTTGCCTTGTGGGTACGTACGTAGCGGCGACACGCTCTCTCGCTCTCTCGCTCAAGCCTCGCGCTAGCTGGTCCATGCATGGCCCCAACCCCAAGTACAACTGTGGAGAAGTAGGGCCTGCTGCCAGTGCCCAGTGCCATGGATCAGTTACTGCTCAAACGGGGACCCAATTTCCTTTTTTTTCTTTTCTTTTTGCAGAAATACCTGGCGCTCCACTGTTTTTATTCCTCTTCTTGTTGCCAAATTATCAAGCAAGGTTATCGAAACCAGCCTGGACAAACGGAGAAGGGATGGTTGTGGCCTGGCTAGCAGCAAGTGGATCAACTGGGGTTCCCAATTATTTATCCATGTAACCAACCCTGTCCCTCTGTATTTGTTCATGTGCAGTACTAATTATGTTTTTCTTTTATAGTTACGATAATTTTTTTTTTTGGTAGCTACACTTCAAGCTATTTTTATCGTAACAACTTATTCATAACAAGAGGGAATGGTGAAACAGGATGATGATGTATTTATGCAGTCTTGTCAAACCGTGTTGATTCAGACGGTCGGACCTTTCATTCAGCCCGGTAACTATTCAGGCAGTCGGTTCCGTTTCACCCTTAAACTGATCCTTGGCCAAAAACCATTGATTTGGTCAGCATGCAATCCATTAACTCTGATGGTCGATTCGTTCAATGGTTTTGGCCGTTTTCCTATTTTAATTATTTTTTATTTTTTTTTAAGTTGAAACATGCCATTCATTCGAACCGAACGGTCAAACCATCAATAAAAACCGGTGGTCAGAATAGCTCTGATTCCTGATTGATTTTAAAACCTTGAATTTATGTGTTGTTAAATTTCCTAGAGTGTATTTAACAACTTTCTACTTGTGGCAAAGCTTGCTGGCAAGCGTGAGATTGGGGTTCAGGGTTTTAAGTCTGAGAGAGCACCCACTTGAAAGCCAATGCAAGGTTTTAAAAACTGACCTAGAAATGGAACTATTCTAGCTACCGGTTTTTGGGTCAATGGTTTAACTGTCCAAGTCGAACGGTTTCGGACGATTTGCATTAGGGCAAATAGTTATATACTTATATGAGAAAGGAAAACTTGAGAAAAGAAGAGATTGTTGCCGGTTGAGAAAGAAGAAAAGAAGGAAAGAAAGAAAGGAAGGAGAAAGGAAAAAGGAAAATGAGAGAAAGGAAAAGAAGGAAGGAAAGAGGGAAGGAGGAGGAGGGAAGAAGAAGGAAGAGGAGGAGAATGATTTAACGCTCACCAGCGACGATAATGGCAACAGCGACAGTGAGGCGACGGTAACAGACACAAATGACAGATCTAATATCTGAGATTTGAGTTCATGTCTTTGGCTTAGACTCTTAGTTTCTCCCCTCTCTGCAATTTTCTTAAACCGTGAACCGCTGTTCAAGTCAAATGAGTCAACGGTTCGACCACCCGGGTCAGAGGTTTTTTGACGAAGTCAATAGTTTTTTACCCAAGAACGAGTTAGGGGTGAAACAAAATCGGTTGCTTGGACGATTTTTGAGCCGAACAGTCCAACCATTCGGGTCAACAACGGTTCAAAAACATTGAGTCAAGGGTTCACATCAAGGTTTTTAAATCATAGTTGACCTAAACCGTTTAGCAAGAAAGTTGGTCAGGGTATCAGTTCCATTTCACCCTGAACTGCCAGGGGGAGGCAAAGGGGGCCATGGCCCCCATATGCCTTGAAAATCCCCACAATACCCACTTAAACTTTCACCTATATTTTGGTCTCCATATCCATGTTTACTAATTTTTCCCCCCCCCCCCCCCACAAAAAAAAAAAAAAAAATCTATGTTTACTAGTCTTTGCCCCCCTTAAATAGAAAATCTGCCCTTGTGAACCACTATTTTTCTCAAAAACCGTTGTTTGGCCAACAACCTGCTTAACCCAGGTGGTTGATCCATCAACCCATTCAAACCAAATGATTGAACTGCTAACTCGGAACACCAGTGGCCAAAGTGGTTCCAATTCCAAGTTGATTTTTAAAAATAGGTTAAGGCCATCTAATCTACCCCTCCTAAGACCCGGTTGGTTGAGACCAACATTGGATAATGACCTTCTTTCTACTAGTAAGTGTGCATATACTTTGCATGTGGAAATTCTAGATGATGATAATGATAGTAATAATATATCCAAAATTCTCTATAAACTTTATGTATTTTTTTATTTTTATATATATATATATTTTTATTATTAATCAAATGAAGATTGCAAAATCCAAATCTAATTATATAAACACCTCATCCAAATATGTGATAACCGGATTGAGCTATAGAGTTTCAAGTATCATTGATAGGTTTACCTACTTTGCTAGACTCTTTTTTTTTGTAATATTTTATGTTTTTGGTGTATATTT